TAAAATTTTTATTCGTATTAAAGATAACAGACCGTAACATAAAGTTCTTTTATGTTAATTAACCACTTATTTTTAGTTTTGGAACTTTATTGCCATTTCTCCCGTCCATTCTCCTCCCCCCGAGTGCAAATTAGTTCTCGTGTATTTAATGTGAGATTTTTAGACTGTAAGATGGAGTATGTTCTGCATCTCGCGACCATGCTACTAGGTTGCTAGATAAGATAAAAAATATAGTCTTCGGCCTTGTAAGATATGTAATCTCCTTTATAATCGCCGATATTTAATATCCAGGCAGGTTAAGTTTTAAGACAACTTCCCGTTAACTGATTTGTGTGGCCTTAGGCTACTAGCTTATTTGAATTGAAATTTTACATTTTAATTTACTGTAATTTAGCTGTCATTTTAGACTTGACGAATATTCGCTGCCAGTTTGTCTAAAGTTCAGTTACAGTTTATGATTGAAAAGAAGATTTCTAAACATTTAGTATGAATACAAAATTACAAAAAAAAAAAAAAAAAATTCAATATATTTGACGTTCTTCAAAATTTCTTCATTTTGGTGAAAATTCATAAACAGTTTTGCTTTTCCAAGGAAATGAAAATAAATCCTTGAGTGACACAAGCAGTGTTTAAAATTTCTTTTGGCTGCAGATGGCCTTTCCGAGCAAGTTTCTCTGTTGGTAGCGAGCAGATAGTCGGCTACCGGCTTTCTTTGGGGAGATGTAAGTTGATGCTTTTGACAGAGCGAACAGAAAATGCTCTTGGCAGAGCTGAAAAATTTCATATGAGAAGAGATCTCTCTTTTTTTTTTGACTAACTATCAAATATCAACCTTGGAGCTGCTTTCATGGTTTTGTTCAGGATTTTCTGGGGTGTGTTAGAAATACTTCTTTGATTCTCATTTGTCTGGAAATTTCACAGAGTCTCTCGACTGATGAGTGCAGTGTGATTGTTTACAAGTCTAATACTAATTGGCCTGGGAAAAGTTTCTTGCGAATTTCCAGGCTCCGACTTGAAACGTTATCCGGAGGACTAAATCTGCAGAAGTGTTCGTGATGGGCAGTTGAAGCGCAATATTAGACGTACAAATAGATTCGTGGAAATTCTGACCGAGGGGTGTCCACGTTTCAGTTTTTCTCAAGAACACTACGAAATGATTCCCTTTAGAGCACCACGAAATGAAATAGAGAACTTTGCATGATTAAGGTCACGTTGAACTTTTCCAAGAATTGCCAAGTGGTCATCGGAAAATAGCTAAAGACGTTATAATATCTTTTAATTTAAGATTTAAAGAGATCAGTAGCTGAACCATAAGAACGTTGAACACTGGTAAAAGAGAAATAAATATGCAATGTATGAACTAAAAATAATCAGTATGGAAAAAATTTACATAAAGTAAACCCACAGATTCGAGCAAGAATCTCTTTGGAAAGCAGAAAAATCTTTAAACTTTACAAGAAATACTTTTTTGCATTGCATCATACATTTATGTGTTTCAAGGAAATTCATTTTATTCCCATTTTAAATTGTACAGATCCATACCTTTAAGTAGATATAATCAGACAAAAATATTTATATAACAATAAACTTAAGCAATGCAGATGTAAATTTACATAAAATATATTTACTGAATGTTTAGAGGTAAAATACATTTACACTAAATGCACAAAATTGCATTAATAATACTGGGAAACAAATTCATAATATTTTACTATTTTCATTGGCATACTAATTAAAATAGTATATAAAACTGATTGTAGATCCCATGCTGGAGTCAAATATATAATCGGAATTTTACTACAACGGAAAGATTTTTGCGGCACTCTCTTGCAGGTTATATGCGTATATTAAAACTTGCATACAGCAGAAGGATATAGTATTTTAAAACTGGATTCTTCTTATAAAGACAGCACAAATACTAAACGTGTTGAGCAACCAACAGTCTTGATATTTTTCAAAAAATCCGATAATCCGATAAGTTGATTAACTGTGTGTATAACTTCAGTGAACAGCTATTAGATGGTAAACTTAAGACATTCGACTCTACAGAATCTGTAAGTCCTCTCTTCCTTCCAACTTCCTCCAGGACAGCTTTTATAATATTCTTAAGTTACTGCCATACAGTTGTATTCTGATTCTAATCGACCCGGTGTTCCCGAACCAATTACGGAATTTGATAATTCCATATACGTGTCATCTTTGACCTCTACCATCATCTAAGTTAGGAAAATGATTTTATTGTATGCATTAAATTTAGCTGAAAAACTACTAAATCTTAAAGCTCGCATGCAGCCAGCCCGTTCACCGAGATTTAAACTTGGGTCAAACTACCAACTTCTCGGCCGCTGGATTTGGGAGTATAATCAAAGGAGTCATTAACTAGCACAAGTGGCTATGTTGCTGATGTGAAATTTTCCTTCGTGCTGAATCTGACAATTTTTTTAAGATAACATCATTTTTTTCTGTCTTTGCAGTATAACTCACGAAGGACAAATATAACTTTATGTCGAAATTTGATCAGAAGGTGGTTATTTTTAAACCGCCAAATACTATTTCACGCACACGTATCGCATTTGTGCATTTTGTAGAAGGATTTTCAGTTGTTACAAGACTTTTGTTTTCACTAATAAGATTAATTAATGATATTATAGGAAATTGGTTTCTTTATTAAAAGTTACTGCTCGGTTAGTTAGCTTGTAAATGAAAGCGGAGTATGAAAATCAGAACTAAAGTTTCAAAAGAGCTCGTAATCAGGAATAAATATCTTTTCGTAACTAGAAATTTAATATATTTTATGTTTATAATTTAAATTTTCGTGTATTTTGTATCATGAAGAAGTCTTTATGAACAACTGATGTCATGAAGAAGTCTTTATGAACAACTGATGTCATGAAGAAGTCTTTATGAACAACTGATGTCATGAAGAAGTCTTTATGAACAACTAATGTCATAAAAATGTCTTTATGAACAACTGAGACTGCAACAACTGATGCCATTAAAAAAAAATGGGTTCCAATATAAGTCTGGAATGTGCAATGATACCCTGATTAACATGAAGTCGAAGTTACGCGGTTTCACACCAGAAAAATATACGACAACTGCAAGCTTGACATAAAGTCTCGTCACAGTTGAGAAAGGTTTTCAAACTCTAATGAAAAAAATCGGTTTAGCTACAAGGCAAGGAATGAAAAAAATATTAGTTAATGCAAACACATTTTAAGTGATAAAAAAGTTATTGAGCGGTCAGTCGAGTTTGCTAAACTCGAAGAAAGCTATCGGTATCGAAATAATTCCGTTTCATGTACCAAACGTATTTTAATATTATTTTGTATTGATATATATGGCAAGTACATACCTTTTCTTCTAAAAAAGTAGTATTTAAGCCGTTACTTTTGTTGAATTAAACTTCACACGTATTTGTAACCAAAGTTAAACTCCAGTCTACATGTTTTTCTTTGGCCCTATTTATCTTGTAATTTCGAAGTATTACTGTGTGTACCAGAAGTCAGCATATAAAACTATGCAAAAAAATAAACTTATTCTGTCCTTGTTGACTAACATTACATACATTAATATTATTACTGCATTCACTACATTTCCTTTCACGCCTTTTAGCTAGCATTCCGCTAAACAGAAGGATATAAATGAGAGGTGTTTCTCAGCATTATTTGTCTGATGCTTTTAAACTCAAAAATACAAGGATCTGGTACGAAATATACAGTTAATTTTCTTTAAAAATAACCTTAATTTCTGTTGGATGTTTAAGCTACGAATTAAAAACTTTTGAGTTTTGTATTCCTACCACACACTTTAAGCAAAAAGTTAGTAACTTATCTTTTAATATCTGAGAATTTTTCAAACATGGGGCAAAAGAATTAATATAGAAAAAAAACTTTTAAAACAAAAACCCTGAGATTTATTAGAATCAGAAATTAATGATGATTTTTCAGTATGAATTCATTAATGCAGTGAACTTTGTTTCAAATGAAACGTCATTAAATCAAACTTAACCAGTGGGATTTTTTTTCAGAAGAATTGTCATCATAAAGAGAGAAAAATAGTAACAGACATTTTTCATTGTTAGAAAACACTCATATTTGGTTTCTTTTATTGATATATTATAAATTCTAACTATTTTAGTTACAAAATTAAAATTATGTATCGTTTAAACTGTTTTCCTTTTAAAATATCGTTACTATTTTTCTTGTAGGAACATATGAGACTTCAAATTATAACGATGTGTTGTTATAAGACCTGCCTTTAATCAGGGTTTGAAGTCTCTAAGGATCAGTTTACAAGAGTTTGCTTGCGATACTTATGCGAAAATGGGAAGAGTGTTATTTAAATATGAATCTTTGGTGACACATTAGAGCAACTCCTTCTCGTTAAGTTCGGTCCGAGGTTCGAATCCCGCGAACGGGTTGGCTGCATGGGCGTTTTCGTGGTTTTCCCCATGTGTAACGTGTATACGAGCCAGTTCCCCTTAGAAAGCCCTCCACGAAGGCATCCCTTCCCTTAGGCAGATAGCCCTCGAGGCTTTGCCATAATCACACACACACACACACCTCCTCGTTAAGTAAAAGAAAGGAGCAAAGGAAGCAAGACTTGTGTCATTCAATGAAAGTATAAGAATGAAATATGCAGTTTTTTTTCAGATGAATTTTTATTTTCATTTTATGCTTACGGAAACATGTTTTTCTACACAGTGAAGAACTTACAGTTTTAAGATACTAGCTGAATCACTGAAGTAAACAACTCATCGAATAAAACAATGAAAATTCTTTTGCTGGATAAAATTTATTCAAAAAATATGTATCTTTTTAGAATAAATCTCGTTATTTCGCATATCATTTTTCTTCTATTTTGCATCAGAAATCGCTGACTTGATTTTTTTTCATGATACTGCACATTATTTTCTAAGCTAAGTTTTCCTATAAAAGGATGACTTAAAAAAAAAAAAAAAACAGTTTATATGCAATAATTTGGTTCGGCTAAGACATGGAGTTTCTACGAGGTAGCTTAATTTTCTTTTGGGCCTTGACGATGGCAGCACTAACAATCATTCAGGCTGAGCCTATACCAAAATACGGAGGTAATGGCGTCCTGAGTTATTTAGGAAACACACTGGGTTCTTAGGTAAGTAAACATATTTGTACTTTTATTTAAAATAATAAGTTAAAATTAATTTAATATTAAGTTAAAAATAGAATATTTTTCACTAATTTTTTTGTCCTTCGTGTTATATGTTTGATCAGATAGCCTGGCTCAGTAAAAGTAGGCGGCCAGTGTAACTCTGATTGAAAATCCGGTTTAACCACGTGCAGTGCTGATAAGGACGACGTGTTTCTGAGACTCCTTCCTTTTATTTTTCTTCTTCTTTCTAGGTATTTCTTTCTCCTGATCAGGAGGGACCTTTAGCTGCCCTCGAAATCGATTGAGTGTTTCAATATACTTACGCTAAATACAAGGTTATTTTTACGATTTTGATGCTCTGAATAAACTCCAAGTTTCACCTGTTTAAATACGCCCTTTACTTCACTTAAAATTTACATCCTGTCCAGGAAATGCGAGGGGAAGTTGAGGAGTTCAGGAATGCTAACAAAAATTTGAATAATAGATTAAATGAACTAAAGTAAACCCTACGACGCTAAACTCAAATTATAAACTATTGATAACCTTAGTGAAAAAGTAAAAAGAACATTTTAACCTTAAAGCAATTTTCTTCCACTGGTGATAAAAATTTCTTTTTGGAATCAAAATTGGAATAGGATTAAATGTCTACAAAAGATTAAGGTTTCAGTTCTTAAATAGAAAGAAAAGAGGAAATCTCTTTCCTATTATTCTGGTGGACAAGTAAATAGAAAGTCTTATCTTTTGGATCGCAGCATTTCTGATTGAAACCAAAATCATTTTAGTAACGAAGGCGCAGCTCTGGACAAACCTTAGTGCCTTGAAAGACGCTAAATTTAAAAGTCCAATTCTTATAAGAGGGAAAGGAAAACATACAGCAGTTAGGAAGAAATATTCGGAAAAAACTTTTTAACAAAAGTCTTATCAACTATACAGGATTTCCTCTTATAAGAAGCTCAAACATTTCAACTTTCCAGAATTTCACCTGCAGCCCCTATTTTATAAATTTAATTGATCTAATCATCAATGATTTTGGAATCAATCAAGCAACCTTCAGAAAAATTTCCAAGTCTCAAAACAGAAATAAAGTGACAAATTGACAGGGATCCGAAAAATGGCGAAAACATTCAAGAATTTCCATTTCAGTATTCTCAAAGGAAGCTATCAAAACTTCCGTCGACAATCGTTTACGAAACTTTTAAAGATGCATAAGCATGCGAACAAAACAACAGATGTGATTTTTGCATTTCCGAAAATGACTCGCACTCGTTTGGAATCAGCTCTGTTACACAATATGAAGGTAAGGCACAGATATGAATGAAAACTGAAAACACGTATTAAGGGTGACACATATTGAGTCCTTGTCTGTGCAGGTAGTCGATGATGTTCTTTATCTGACTGAATGTTATTAGGTACTTGATTAGAAATCGCCTGAATTCTATATCTGGGTTGCTTGGATGACAGATATAGTGAACAGACGTCATTGGACAGTTGAAGATATACTGCTCTGGGTCCCCGTTGCTTCCGCAAATACATCTGACAGAGGAGGCTTTGTGTCTGTTGTAGAAGTACAGTGGAAGTGGGCTGTGACGCGAGATGTACTGGGAAAGGAAGTAGGATGAAAAAGTGACGTTTGCATCTACTTTAGGGAGGAATTCATACGTTCGTCTTCCTTGTTGTGACCAAAACAACAACTGTCTTAATGAGCATCCCCAATGTTAAATATAGTATATATGCTCTTTACTTCAAAGGACGTTTCTAAACGTAGACTTTACTGTGCACTATAGTGCAATTCTCTTACTCAATCTAGTAACAATATTTCCTGCTCTTTATTACGTGTATTATCTTTGTTTGAAACACTGCTTTCTCTCACCATACTATCAAGCCGCGAGAGGAAAAATGTGTATATATCTGCAAATATTTAACGATATATTTGTGATGTCTGTTGATACTGAAATGTTTACCTGATACCCATACCTGATAGATACATTATGTATCATAATTTATGGCTGCAAATAAAGTGAAAAATAGTTCCACTTTATAAATCTTCTTTTGGGAATTATTAGCATATGCAAAATGCCATACATCACACCCGTTACTTCGTTCGCATATTTACTCATCTGTAGAAAGTTTGCGGGATTCCATAAAAGGTGAAATAATTTTACCAGGTCTCTTTTCTAAATTTTGAGTAACCTCTCAAAAATGGAGGTTATATGGAAATGAGATAATGATCTATGTGCTAGACGTGGTTTCGTTTTTGTGTCTTGCATAAGTATAAAAAAAAGTTTCGTTGTTTTCTCCAGTTTTAAATAAAAATAGGTCTGCAGACCAATACTCAGAAACTGAATATCGCATGACATATAGCGGAAATATACAGTTAAAAATGCTTTTTTGATTTTTGAAGGCGAATATTTAATTGCTAGATAAGTAAAAGAAAATTGTTCCAACTAATATTTTTTTTTTTTCAAAAAAGAAGGGAACGGGAAATAAACCAAAATAGGAATAAAAATTGAAAAATACCGAAATTTTATAAACTGAATGATTATTAAAATTCAAATTTAACAAAAATAGCAGAAATTAATTTTATATACTGAATTTTAAAGCCAGAGAAAGAGCCATTTTCTCAAGTTAAGAACTTTAAATAAAGGAACAGAACTTTGAGAAAAATGTAGTTTTGAAAAGCTAATCCAAATTAAACTTTCAGTTCTACACTTTTAATGATAATAAGCTAATCAAAAATATTGAAATTAAAAAATTGTTTTGTTTTATTTGGGTAATAGTAACTTCTAATGAAGAACTGAATAATCAAAATCAGAACCTGTACAGCCAAATTTCAGTTTGTGTTAACCGCAAAATTAACCCTAGAAATAATGTATCTAACTTTACCAAAAGTATATTAAATATTTACACTGAGAGCAAATAACAAACTATGATATGCTACATATGTACAGAGGCAATGATGAAAATTTATAGGTGACTTTCTCTTATAACAGTCACTTCTTTATCTAATAAAATAATCAGACTGGGTTAAAAGTCTCTAGTCAAGCAATCAAATCAACCCCAGACACATTTCTCTGAAATACAAGAAACGTATACAAGCAAAAGGCGGTGTTAACTTTTGTTAGTCTTTAATAAAGCAAAATGAACAACAGAAGTGTGTAAATGAAACATTCCCACCCCCAAAAATACATATATAAAGTAACATCTTTCATAAAACTCGGAACAAATGTTTATTCCCTTAAATCAAGTGAAGAAGTGTAATTGCAATATAAGCATGCATAAAGTATGCATTGCACTGAAAGCCCAAAACAAAATCAAGATCTGCATAACTATTTCTACAGAACGAAGTACCCTAGAATACTTTGAAATACACAAACTGTTATAACGCATAACTAAAATTACGTCGATTATACCTATGATGCAAATACATTCTACATTTTGGATACAAAATCTAAAATCAGTATAAACTGATTAATATGTGAATAATGCAAAATTTATTAAAATATAATCAGAATAAAGGTACTGCAAAATGTAAGCAATGCATTGATAGGACTAAGAAAATTGAAGAACACACAGAATGAAGAAACAACAGCAATTTAGCCGAAATAAATCTCGAGAAAAGGCTAAACTCTCCTGTAGAAAGTTAAAGAGGAGAAATTATTTATGAAAGAAATTTAAATTGGATGGAGAACTAGTGTGCAACAGCTATTACGTACAAATACTGTACAAAGTTGATGTGAGTAACGATGGCTCTTTTGTGATAATGATTATTGGCATGAATTAACAGATGTCGACGAGGTAAGTTTGCTGTGCAACAATTTGCAACAACAGCGCAGAAGGGCTTTGTTGAAAACATATAATTATGCGTTTTACTGAAGGTGGGTGGAAGATGCAGTGTCTTTTTCGGGAAAAAAGAAAGCGTTCTTAGGATATTGTACAAATTCACAATGACAACATTATGTTTGTTTGTTCTGCAGGTTTGACAACATCATGTCTGTTTGTTCTGCAGGTTTTCATTGGTTTTATTAAGAAGTTGATTATTTCGAAGTGCTTAATGACCTTCTCATCTCACCATTATAAAGCGCAAATATCTTGCATAAAGTTTGGCTCTAGCACGACTAGGCACAGGCCCAGTTTATAAAGTCTATTCCATGTCGTTCGAACTATGCCGCTCCAAATCGTTAAATTCTATATAAATCCTTGTTTTCTTCTAGGAAATCCAAATCGATATTGGAAATGTACTCAGGGATTTCATCAAAATGTTTGTGCTTTGGTAACGGATAAATGAGTTAAAAAATGTCATGCCATACGTAAAGTCAAATCACAGCCACGCGGAATAAAAGATGGGTAGTTATCCATTAATTCTTGCCTTTTAATTTGAGGTAATAGGGGCGAAAGGTTATGCCTGTTGCCTTCGGTTTCTAAATGGCTAAGTGGATTAATTAATATGCAGTACGTTGTGATTTGTTTATTACTCTTAAATGTTTAATAAGCTTCTTGACAAATGGGTTAGAAAACTTTTTTGCCCCATGCACCCTTTTTACCACTGCCAGAAGGTTCAAAAATCAGAAAAATACATGTATACGTTTATTCTTATTTAGATTGTTTTTTAAAGGGTTTCATAAATTAAATAAGGAAAGTATAGGAAATGTGGGTAAATACTAAAACTTGAATAAAAGCAGTTTTTATAATCATAAACTAAAACTAAATATTTAACAGCTAAATAAAAGGATGAACACAATCTTCGTCTGAAACTTTGAAATTCCCTCCTAGAAGGGTAATTCCACCTGTTTGAGACTGGGAAAAAGCGTTTCATGTCCTTTGTGCTTATATTCCTAGAAATTTATCTGCAGATATTATATAAAATCTAGAAAACTATCTAAAATCTTCTCAGTTTTCAATTACTTCATTCGTTGAGCACTTCGTCATGTCTATGACTATACATTTTATAAGTCATTTAGCTCTAAGGAGCTTATTAGAGAAACTTTATGAAAAAGACTTATTTTTGAATTCAAACTGAAAAAATTTAATATAGTTAAAATTTGTTTACGCATATTTTCCGAAAGGAAACTTCCTGTATTCCAGAAAACTGACTTTTCTTGGAGACCTATTATTCTTTCTTCTGCAGTCGCGATTTGTATTACTTATATAAATGCAAGTAAAATGCATTTGTGAATTAAAGAGCTAAGAAATTGCTCAGATATCCTATTAGTTCTTAAATAATTTCTTATCTGCATGAAGTCCGATTATAGATGCTTTTCTTTAACGCTATATAACAAATCTGGAATAAATAAAGTTTAAACTTGAAGTTAGAGCAACATTAATTGATCTGGCCAGAATAACTGAAAAAAAATTAACTTTCAAGTTTATGTGGAGCCTTATGCAAAAATCCCATAATAGATACAGGAACTGTGGAAACTAGAGTTACTCAGTTTTCAGACATAATAATTTAGAAAACTTGACAACAATACACCACGACCTTTTGCCCAAAATTTGCCTAAACTAGGCTATTGCCTCTGGGCGACAGTATCAAATATTTTTAACTTTGGTTTTATGAAGTATAGAATTTTTTATCTCTATTAATTTCAAAGTTTATTTTTTGTTCATTCGTTTAGTGGAATACTTAAATCTATTGCGTAAAAAATAAATAATATTAGTTTGAAATTATAAAGAGGCATTCAATAAAAGATGTGTAAGTTTAAAGTTGAAATTTATTAATAAGTATTGTATTAATTAAGATATTTAAATAAACTATAGTGCTCTCTTAGAGAAGGAATGTCAAGTGGGCAAACTAATCATTGTGCGGGTCAAATGAAGCAGAAGTTCATTTTCATACTTAATGAGTAAAAAGTTAGTAAATAAATATCTTAGTTAATACTGAAATCAATCTTAGCTGATACTGAAGTTCTTTAAAAATGATAGAAGGACTATAAGGAAATCGGCAAAGTAGATGAATACCTATTGTTTCTCTTCCGAAACCTGGTATCCTTTCCCTGGAATTAGCTTTCGGATGTCTGGAGACACGCTACTCTCTCTAGCAATTTTTAGAACAGAGTTCAGTTGCATGTCCGTTAACTTAGATCTCTTTGGGAGCTTGTTTCTTTTTATAAGTGAGAAAAGCTGTTAGCACTGGTACATACTAAAGAATATGGAATTTATGTACGATGCAAATTTGCAGATCTCTGGTAGCCGCGTAGGCACGTATTTGTTGAAGTTCAAAGATACCAATTTCGTTGAATTCTACTTTAGAGTCGCCCTGAATGTCATTGAAAACAAAACAATATTTGAATAAATTAATTTTTTTCTTCCCTTCGAATAAGTCTTAACTACCATAAATAGCAAAATTTTTCTATCTCATTTATATTTTAATCAGTAATTTTAGCCATTTTAAAAATGATTTATGTTAACTTCTCTTATTTGTTTTATGTTTTGATTAAATAAATAATTAATGAATTTATTTTTAGGCTATCGAATCAAGAAGGATGTCCGAATATGTTTCATCTACATAAATAAAAAGCCTTCGTCAGAGTTTCAATAATCTCCAAAAGCATCAGAAATCGTTATTATTTGTATTTTAATAAAAATGTATGGTATCTTCCAAATTTGGAACTGTTCTCAGGAATAAAATGTTCAGAACGTTGCGCATGTAAATTTGTGTTTAATTTTGCTACTGTTCCTAACATTCCATTGTAGGGTTTATATTTATTTTAACTAACATTTATTTTAAGTTTAAACTATCTTTCCTGTCAAGCCTTACTTTCCCCTGGAACTGCCAATGCCAGAATATGTAAATTTGAGTAGAACGTGCAAGCATTCAAATTATCAGCGGAAGTATTCTGATTTAAATAGAAGGAAACGAGTTCGGTGTGAGATATTCTTACTTCAGCGAGCGCGGAGGTAGTTAGCGAGAATTGAAGAACCCCGCGTTGCGGCCTATGTGCTTGGCGGGAAGTAGTGGTAATCGTTCCAGTGAGCTTCAAGTCTGCTGAATTAGCAGCGGTATTGTAAAACGCGGTGAGTTAGTTATTTTAGAGAGCCTCGTAGTTAGAATCTTGTCTTTATTTTCTTTTCAGGTTATTATTTTTTATTTGACTGCCAAGTTGGCACCGTCTGTAAGCGTCAAGAGCACGCAATTGTAATTTATTACGTTGAATAAAAAGGGACTTAAACCCTTCACAAGACTCTATCTTTTATACAAGTTTTCACAGTCACCTCTTGGTTGCGTGCAAGTTGGAGGCGCGCAACGTTATATTGGCGCCCGAACACTTATCGAACTGAAATGGCCGAAAACTGGATGGAAGCCGCTGGACAACACCAAGAAATGACAACTCAGTTAGAAGGATTTGGATACCTGGTCCAGACTTTGAGAGCATCAATCAAGCCAAACGTCTATTTCGACGGAAAAAATTCGGTGCGGTATTTCTAGAAGGTATAGAAAACCACTTTCAGCTCTCTACCCTGTGCCTGAAAGACAAAAAGTTGCCATCGCGCCACATCAGCACTAAGAGGACAGGCCGCGCTATGGTGGAAAAATATAGGCAAATTTCTATCTAGGTGAATTTGGAAGCCCGACGTATACATTTGAAAATTTCAAAAAATCGTTAGTAAAGGCCTTCCCCATAGTGAAAGATCGCGCACGGCTGGAAGCCGAACTATATAGTTTCTATCAACGGGATACAGCAATTGACGGACTTTATTTTACGAAAAATCAAGCTAACGGATATGCTGTATGGGAAAAAACCCGATGCGGAGATTATTGAAATAATATTACCAAGATTGTTACCCGCTGTCCAAGACTACTTTGAAATTAGAAACCCAAGCACATTGCAGGAACTTTTCGAATTGGGTGAAGTTTCAAAATCGCAGAATAGCGGAAAAAGCGAGAGGGGAAACATATTCTCAAAGTACCCGAAGGAAGGAGGAAACCAGAAATGGAAATCGCTCATATGGGGGAAAGAACTATCAAGCTAACGCATCGAAACTCGAAGGTCAAGGCCCAAAAGAAAATTTGAAAATAACATCCGCGTACCCAGAAGACACAGATTGAAAGGAAAGCTTTAAACGACTAGAGGGGCCTGTGAAAGGGAGGGTCCAGACCCCGGAAGTTTTAAAAAAACCCTCAAATAGACATTTAAATACGGTCATCGTAAAAAACTCACAGCTACCAATTATACAAGTCCTGGTTGGCGATGTACCAGTAGAAGCCCTCATCGATACAGGAGCAGAAGGAAATTTTATGAGTGAAAAGTTCTTCAAAAAGAATTTTTATAGGATACGACTATTTAAAACCAGAAATACGGAAATTATAGCGGCGCAAGGAAAAACATGTCACTGCTGCATCGGGAAATTATCATTAAACTTACAGGTAAAAGAGGAAAATCTCAAAGTATTAATTTTTTGTGGTGAAAGACCTGCAACACTCTCTTATTTTAGGTATGGACTTTTTAAGGGCCGCGAGGGCCAAATTAAATTTTCAAGATAGTTCCGTGGTGTTGGAGATGGACCAGAGGGTGGTGGAACCTGTGGAGACACCTGAATTGGACCTTAGCCATCTGAATGACCAGGAAAGTAAAGCAATACAGCAAGTGGTGAGTAATTTTTCTCATTTGTTTTCAGAAAAACCAGGAAACTGCCAAATCGTGACTCACAAGATTCAATTAAATGCCGAAAAACCTTGTAGGACTAAACCGTATCGCTATGATAAACAAAAAGAATCATCGAAGAACATATTCAGGAGATGTTAAAGAATAAAATAATAACGCCCATAAATAGTGAGTACGCGAGTCCAGTCGTACTATGTAGGAAAAAGAACGAGTTTCCTCCTTCGGATAAAAGGGCTTGGAGGTTTGCTATCGATTACAGAAAACTAAATAGTATTACTAAATTTCCAGTTTTACCCTTTGCCGGTTATAGACGAGATCATTAGACAGATCAAATCGACAAGATATATGTCTACTTTGGACTTAACGTCTGGCTACTATCAAATAGCTATGAGACCCGAAGATATACATAAAACCGCGTTTATAACAAAATCGGGCACTTATGCATTTTTTTACGCATGCCCTTTGGGTTGTGTGGGGCCCCATCAACATTCCAGAGAGCTATGGACATTGTTCTAAAGCCTGTCCTAGGAAAATCAACTTTAATTTATCTAGATGATATAATTATAACGAGTAGTACGTTGGAACAACACATTAATGACCTCGAACAAGTTTTTAAATTATTAAAAGAGGCCGGTCTTACAATTAACGCCTCAAAATGCAAGTTCGCAACTAAAGAACTTAAATATCTCGGTTATAAAATTTCGCAAAAGGGTATAGAAACGCAAGATTCAAAAATAAAAGCTATTAAGAATTTCCCACCGCCCAACACCGCCAAGAAACTTTCGTCTTTCCTTGGATTATGTTCTTACTATCGATCTTTCATAAAAGATTTCGCTAATATTGTTGAACCACTCTTAGTAATCAAAAGAAAAAAGAGTAAATTTACGTGGACAGCGGAAGCTAACACAGCTTTTGAAAGATTAAAAGAAGCGCTTATTAATGCCCCTGTTTTAAAATTCCCTGAGGGGGACGAAAACCTGGAAATTGCAGCAGATGCGTCAGACTATGCGGTGGGTGCGGTTCTTATGCAAAATAACCATCCGCTGGCATTTTTTAGTAAAACATTGAATCAGACACAAAGGAATTATACAGCTACAGAAAGAGAAACATTAGCCGTATTAATGGCTGTACACACAAATTTCGAGTTTATTTCGGCAAATCGCCAGTAACAGTCTTTTCGGATCATGCGGCTGTTGGTAGACTTTACTCGGGGAAAAACCTAACGCCCAGGTTAATAAGATGGGCTTTAAAACTCCAAGAATATAATATCACAATAAAATATAAACCGGGTAAGGAAAACAATGTAGCTGACGCACTTTCTCGTATAAAACTGGACGATGAAGGAAATGAACTTAAATGCGCTGTGTTGACTTCAAAAATTTTAGATTCTAGAGATACGGTTATTACTGAACTGAAAGCTGATCCTGAATTTGGAAATATCTATGCTTATTTGAAAGACCCCGAAAGCTTTGAGCATACAGATATCGATGCGATAAGAAATAGAGCAAAAAACTATGAAATAATAGATAATTAATATTCTATACGAAAACAACAAACGAAAATCTTGAGTATAAGCCAGTCATCCCAGCCTCGCTTCGATTAAGCATTTTGAAGGAGTTGCACGAAAAAAAAACAGCGGGCCACCTCGGGGTCAGAAAGACTATAAAAAGGGTACGCGAGGCGGTATATTTCCCGCAATTATACAAAATAGTAACGGCGTATGTCAGGTCCTGCAATCAATGTCAGTTAATAAATGATATTAATTACAGCCCGGCCGGGTACTTAAATAGCATTCGCGCTACATTTCCGAATGAAATTTTAGGCATAGATCTCCTTGGTCCCTTCCCCCAGAGCGAGTTAAATAAAAATCGTTTTCTTTTAGTAATAGTAGATCATTTTTCAAAATGGATAGAAATTGTTCCACTTAAACGCGCGTCAGCCAAAACAGTCGCAGATGCATTCTTACACAGATACATTTTAAAATACGGTGCACCGATAAAAGTCATTAGCGATAACGGAAAACAATTCATTAGTCAATATTTGAAAACATATGCAATGGACTTGGCATACGCCATATCAAAATGGTTCCGTATAGACCACAGGCTAACATAGCAGAAAGAGTTAATAAAAACATAGTAAAAATAATTCGCAGTTACGTGAGCACACATCACAAGCGCTGGGATGGCTACATAAATGAATTAGCTTATGCTTTAAGAACGGCACATCATGATACTACGGGAAAAACTCCAGCAGAATTATTTTTAGGCAGAAAGTTAATTACGCCTTTAGATAAATTATTCTTTGTGCAACAAAGAGAGCAGGAGTTTAAACAACAAGATGTGCAAAAAGTTGATTGATCAGGCGCTTAAAACCTCGGATACGGCAAGAAATAGACAAAAGTTATATTATGATAGAAAACGCCGTGAAGCAGATTTTAAAGTTGGGGATAAAGTATTGAAGCGGAAATTTTCTTTATCAAGTGCCCCAGACAATTTTATGGCAAAGCTAGCTCCAAAGTTTGAAGGCCCCTATGTAATTCAGGAAATCAAAGGAGTAGTCTTATATCTTAAGAACGAGAGAGGGGAAATCTGTAAAGCAAGTCCCGACCAGGTGAAAAAATACTATAATCCAAATGATTTTGAAATCCTTAAAAGTTTCTTGCAGGACTCAAGTCTAAACGAAATAGAAGGGCCAGAGACTGCAACAACTATTCCACCACCCAAGAAACAGAGAACTGAAGAGAGACCTAGCACTTCTACAACCCGGACGTCGGTATCAAAAAGAAAAAAATGATTTTCAAACTCCGGCGTTTAAGAAAAACAAAAATACAGATGAACCGGGTAAAGAAACCGTGGTAAAGACGAAAACACCACCTACAAAGGATGGCAGGAGAAATTACACATCAAGGAGAACGCGCACACGGCCACAGAGTCAGGTGCCAGCAAGGCCGCCGTTCCGGAAACTGAAACGCCAACAGGAGGCACAAAAATACGACGAACAGAAGAAATTCAAGAAGGACTCCAGACCGGAGGACGTCAAGACCAGCCG